GCTTATTGATTTTCAGTTGTTCAAGTGAATCTGTAAGATTTCACCTCTAACCGCCCTGCATGTGCTTTTATGTTACAGAGCAGTTTCAGGCAATAAAATGTCAAAATAAGATAAACAGGTAACTGTGACAAGTCTTCCTAAGGGTAGAAAAACATTAGCAGCACCTGCTGCATTTTCCATCTGCTCTGAAGTACCCAGGAGAAAAAAAACCAGAACTTTTATGCAGTCAATACTTTGTAAGATATGACTGGTCTTGATTGCTTTAGGAAAACCCAGGATGTGTAAATATAAATACACACACACACATATACATTTCTATACAATGAGGAAAGTAGCATAAGATCTACTCTAGAATCCAAAGGGCTTCAGGTCTAAGTGCAGCTCTTTTCCTTCACCTGTCTATTCCTCTGTTTCAATGCTGGCCTGCAGGCAAGGGGTGAGCCCTGAGCAGGAGGGGAAGGAGAGAAATTTCTGGTATAGGACATATCAGGAGAGAGTCTCATGTGGAAGCAATTGCCCTCAAGGTTTGCAGACAAGGGCTGCTTTCATGCCAGCGTGGTTATGACTAACCCAAAGAGGGTTTAGCCTGTCTCATTGCCTACGTCTTTCTCATTTCTCACATCCCCCAGGCTGGGCTGGGTGCACTGGGGCTCAGTGTCACCAGCTCCATCACAAACACAGCAGCTCTGCAGGGACAGGTACTGTGGGGCAGGGGTGGGCTGTGCAGCAGAACTGCCAGTGTAGGGCAACAACAGGGACAGGTTCTGCATTTCAAAAAAAAACCCCTTGTTGTCACCTTAATTCCTGCATCACCATCAGCAGGTAAAAAAGCTTCCAGGATAGAGCACCTCTGTTTTTTCACAGGAGACATCTGCTTTCCAGAACATCTTTTGACTTCCCCACAAAAAGAGCACTGTGCCAAGGAAGCAAGCCTCAGTCTCTCAGCACCCCCACTCTTGGGGCAAAACAAGCCCCTCCTACCTCAGCGAGGCACCTCTCATGGTTTTAGTCTCACCAGTCCCCCTTGCAACTGGACATGGTCCTGGTTTCACTGGATGCTGGAGCCCTGTAATGCCCCCAGGGCCCCTCTGGCAGCCACAGCACAGCAGCTTCAACCTTTTCTTGCCATACATTGCCCAGGAAAACACGTCCTTTCCCCAGGGGAATTTAATCCCATGGAGGTGGGTGTGACACCTCCTGCACAGGGGTAGCTCATCAGCCCATCAGCCCCATCCCAGGCCTGCCTGGCCCAGCTGTGCTTGAGGCTCTCAAAAGCCACCACCAAACCAAAACAAAATGGTCCTTCATTTTATTTACAACTAAATCGCAGCTGGGGAGGGAAAAGAGAAAGCAGACCAAAAAGGAAAATCTTGCTAAACTTTTATATTAACTACCAGTGCATGCATGCATCTAATATTTTCCGAAGTATGCTCTGGTCTTCTCTAGGTTTCTTTAGTTGTCCTTTCTGTATTTCCTGTTTCTCTGCTCATGTCACAGGGGATCCTGCAGCCAGACATCCGGCTTTGTGCCAGCTGTGTGTCCCTGTGTCATAAAAATCCCATTTTTTATATTAAGGGGTTCATTAACTTCATTGTCCTGGCCAGGTCCCAGTTTGAGCATGTACAATCCCTCCAAATATTCCTCTCTTACTTCAACCAGAAATGTCTATTTAAATTACTTCCTGCAAACTATTTTGGACTTTTTTCCATGCCTATTTTTTTTTTTTGATTGCAAAACAGCTGTCACTTTTCACCCAGGAGATGGTCGTATTTTGATGTCACATTAGTATCTCTATCCTACACAGTTATCAAAACCAGTGGAAACCTACCTCCAGGCAAAGCAACCTGCTTACAGTTGAGGAAAAAAATTTGCATCTTATTTACAGGGAAATTCAAAAATTTTGCACACAGAAGGAGTACAATGTAGAAGGAAAAACATAACAGTTTATTAAACGTGCTGTGATAAAATATCTAGATACAAAATAAATTATGTGCTCCAACTGGACAGACTTATAAAATGGTTTGATGACTCAAGTCTATTTAAAAGGTAATCTAAGCAAGCTGTGACTGCACAGACATTGCAACTAATCTAAAAGACATTAAAGTTTCCCTGACCTCTTAGAAGCAATCAGTTGAGCTAAAAACCTTATCAGGAGACCATGCTTGGCAGAAAACATAGAAACATATTTCAGTTAATGGTTCAGACCCACCTTGGTTGCTCTGGAAACTGACCATGGACTCTAAATTCTATCTCTGCTGTACAGTGCATTACTTATAGTACATGAATAATGGATACTATAAACAAGAATTACAAAGTGAAAATTCAGTTAACAATATTATGGAGCTTCCCTTCACAACTGTAGTTCATGAGAGATACAAATTTTATGGTTCTTATCACCAGCAAAAAAAATTTGCATATCCCATCACAGAGTTCTTGCAAGAACCCATTCTGCATTTCTTATCTCAGGGTTTTTATGCTAAGAAATACTGCATTAGGTCCAGTAATTTACATTTTTCCAATAAAATTCTAAACACATATGCAGTAGCTCTTTATTGAGTGACTTCATGTTATAAATTATAAGCTTGGAAGGAAATACATTAGGACAAATATTGACTTCCAAATAGTCACCATGAGTGAGATTTTATCCTGGTATTGAATTATCACACCTCTTGCCTTTTATAGCTCTATCTTATCTCCCAGTTACTATTACTTTGTGGCAAGTAAGTAAATAAATAACACTGCCTCACTTCTGACAGTTTGATTCATTCGGTTCCATGCGGCAGAAACAGCAGGTACAAGTCTGTGCAAGGGTTTTCTAGCAGCTCTGCTCAGAGAGACATTTTGGCATCTGCAACTATAATTAACAGTGCTTTCAGTGTGTCCCATCACTGAGCATTGCAGGCTTTACTGTGGAAGCAGCAGGTGAAGTCCAGTGCCTGTTGGAAAAGATTAGCAAAAAAAAGTAGCAGTACTGCTCTGGGATGTCACTGAATGAACACTGCCTGTTCATTCAACACGTCTGCTCCATGGTTTTTCAGCAACTCTTTAGGGGATAATCTCAGCCTTTACTACCTTAACACCACAGTTACATGTGACATCTGGTTAGGAAACAGGAGCTCAGGTTGCAGTTACAACGGGATGACTCCATACTCCCATCTCCCCCGCTTCGGAAGCAGCACTGAGACTCCCCAAAAACCAGCTTAAGTCAGCATGGAAATATAATTGGTGCAGCCTATGGACAGAACCTGTTGGCTGAAGAACTGCAGGAATACAGCAAAATCTGCCCAAAAACAGAGGTGGGGAAAGAACACAGATAGAACATCTTGGATACAGCAGTCTTCATGCTCACAAAGCTCCTGAATGGAGAAAGTGCGTGTCAGCCCTCACTGTGCCTCCAGCCCAGGGTGACTCTCTGTCTCCACCCCTTGCCTACAACCCAATGCCACCTTGTGCCCCGACTTGTGACCACCCTGGCTCTCACACCCTCCTGTTCACAGCTTGGCCGTGCTTTCCTTCCCAGGAAAGGGCAAGGAAATGGCTGTGACAAACTCTGCTTCCACAGCACCCAGTGGATACACATGGGCACAAGAAAGGCAAAGGGCCTTGGAGGGACACACAGTGAGGAGACCAACAGCAGCACAGAGAAAGTTTCTTCCCTGATGAGGAAGGCCAGGGTGCAGCAGGCAGCTGGCTCACAGCAGGTGGAAGAAAACACATGAATCCAAGGATGTGTCTCAGATGTTCTGGGTCATTCACTTCCAGGTCTAAGCTGGACAGCTGAGTTATACCTGAACTCATTTGTCAATTCAATCTGCTTTGTGGGAGTCAACAAAACCCAAGCTGTTGTTCCAAATATTTATTAAAAAATAACTGCAAGTGGAAAAGAAATATCAATAAGCAGTCCAATGGCAGATTTATTACAGTTTTAACAAGTAAAGGGAATGAATCTACTTTATGAACAAAAATAGCAATAGGAAAGTATACTGAACGATTCTTAATTAAACAATAAAATGGAAACAGCATATGCAATACACATTTATATATAAATATATTGGTTACATTCTTCTTAAATAGATTAAACAACATTCATTAGCAATATCCAAAAATATTTCTTCATGGCAAGAGAATCATCTTCTTTCACAGCACTACTGACTCTCCACAAGTTTCCACTACAACAACCTTAGAGTTTGGGGCTAGAATAGGTATTCAACACCACCAGGTCAAATCTAGAGCAAGTGATATGAAATCACTTTATGTGAGATCTCAGAGAGAGTTAAGGCCAGGTATGCAGCAGGTGGAATTGTCAGAGCATGATTTAAGCAGTGGGATCCCCTTGAAATCTCAAATTTGGATTAAAGCTAGATTCCCACAGGTAAACTGTGACACTGCTCAGGATTCCCTGTTATAACACACTTCCCTTTTTCTGTAAACAACTGTTAACAAAAATAAATTCTCTGTACCCTGTTAACCATTTCTTAACATAAAAATAAGGAGCTGCTTGGGTAGTTTTTAAATAAGTCAATATAAAACTCTATCCTATCCTAAGTGCTGCCTCTATCAAAGTGCTAGCAAATGGCACAGTGTTCGAGGCCATGTTCCCTGCTTTTCATGGTTCATATTGCAAACCTCAGCTCCAGCAAGACTGAGCTCAGGACTCCAACCATGGTGGCTGCATCAGCCCAGCTCTGGGCACCTTCACTGGGCCACCCAGAGCCCTTCTGAACAGGTCATGCCAGGGCTCTTTGTGCTGTCAGATGGACAGTGCCCATCACAGACTCATCCCCACCCTGCAGTGGTAGCAGGGCCTGCACGTTCAGGGAGCTGCTCAGATCCACCCCAGCACAGCAGGGACTGAGCCTGTGCCCTGTGGAGACCTGGGCAGGAGTTAGGCTCAGACCCAACAGCAGAAGATGAGCAGATTCCACTACCATTTTGCATAGTTTGGTTCAGTGACTCTCTGTGAGTCCTGGAGAGATGACCTACCACCCTCCTGCTGCTCCCCTTCCTACCAGGTGTAGCAGGGACTCTCACAGCTTGCCTGTTTGGGACCTCTTTGGACTTGGTTTGGTTCAAATACTTGCTGGCTGTTACTTCGGAGCCTGAATAAGAAATAGTGCAAATACAAGCTTAAATTAAAAAAAAAAAACAAACCACATTGCCTTCACTGAACATTCAGTTAAAAAGACAAGGATCCATAAAGATGAAACCCCAGTTTTGGGGTATCTGAGATATTTGGCAAACATGCACAAGATTCTTCATGATTGTCTTAAAGGAGTACGTTTCCCTTGGCGCTAGATGCCTCAAATTATTTGCTAATGTGAGTCTAACTAACACTGTCGTGGCTAATTGCAAATGACTTTGAAGACTAGTCATGGAACACAGGACATCTCCCTGGCGAAACAGGACAAACACTCCCTGCAGTTATGGATTCCTCAGTGCTTTTCTTATCCTAGTTTAACTCCAAATGATTTTGCTTGCATGGAATGGTGTGAATTCACCCAGGGTGGTTTTTCTGGAAGGCGAACGGACCATGTTTTTTTCTGAGGGTCAAAATACCTTTATTTGGCCATGCTCAGGCATATTAAGAGGCCAAAACAGAACTCTGTTTGATTCCTATTATGGGAGGCTGGCTGCAGTGCATTTTAAAACAACAATCATCTGAAGTGGCTGAGATGTTCAAGTTTGAAACTTCATAAAGTGCCAGGGCGCTCTACAAATGCAGGGACCCCCCTGGTACTGCAGAGACCCCACATGGCAGCAGGCACACTGTAGAACTCATGCAGAGTTTCTTGGCCCACTTACTGAAGGGGCTTAACTTCTCTCAACTCCTCTTCCCCCCAAAAATCAGCAGAACAAACATTCAGCAGCAAGTTGCTTTAAGCAAGCAACGCACAAATGGCTCGCTATCTTCACTGTGGATTAGGCACACAGCCCGGCCAGGGGTTTGGGAAATCCTACGTGCCTCCATCTCCAGGTGCCTACATGATACTGCAAAGTCTGGTCTCAAGTGTTTCAGGGTTCAGCCCTGGGAACTAGTCCTGCTTTGACTAGAACCAAAGAGAAAAGACCACTGTCTTCAACCAGGGGCAGGGCTGCCTGCTGTCCTCGCCGGGGGCTCAGACCTGCTCCTCTCCCCACTGTGCCACTCGGTGCACCTGCACTAAGTCAGGTGTGCTAGCCTGAAGGCACAGTTACACCAGGGGGAGTTTTACCTGTTGATCTTATGGGACAGTTTCAAAGCAAGATCCACATATTTAAAAGCATAAAGAGATGAATTCACAATGAAACTAAGAAAACAAAGAAGTCATCATATTTACAGAGAGCTGCCATCACACACGCTCCATTAAAGAAATAGCCTTATCTTTGCCCATGTGTTTGTTTCTAACATGATAGTGGACTCCCCAGCACTTCAGGACATTGTTTCCAATCATACAGATAGCACACTTCAGGCTTTAACAGAATTGATGCATAATTATGCTTAAGTAGCTTTTGTCTCCCAGTTCCATGCGTTAATTACAGTTTTATACATGAATAAAATAAAAAAAAAGTCCACTTTTTCTCCCCACAGCAAATTCATGTTCTGTGGTGGGCAAAAGCAAGGATTTTTGGAACATTGCCTTCCCCTTCTCCCTTTTCCTCCAAGTGTAAATGGTACTGGAACCTAAAAGCCAGCATCTGCATTACACAGATGGGACTCTGCTATGTTCTTTTTTTTTTTTTTATGATGTTCATGTAGCAGTGACTTGTAAGAGACATTTGGAATGAATGCTGGCTATGACAGGATACTGCCTAAATTAGAATCAGGCTCCAAGTATCTTCCTGCAATTAGATTATGTCATACGTTGTATTCTTACTCATGGCCTGGGAAGGAGAGTGCAAGGGTACTTAATATTTGTAGATATTCAATTAAAATGAGTGCATCAGACACTCACTGGTCTGGATTCTGCCTGCCTCACATCTAGTCCAGGCTTGCTTCTAAATCTTAAGAGGAAAGAAAAAGGGAAGTGAACGCGCACACACAGTGGAAGTCACCAGGCCCATACGTATGCCTGCTGGCTAATACAGCCTTTACCTAACTAAAAGGTAAAAAGCCATGCAGTTTAAACTTCAGTTTATATAGTATGGGTTAAGCTAATGCTAGAAAAATAGAATTCAGAGGGAGGGGAGAAAGGTTTACGTGTAATAAATGGCAATTTTGCTGTCTCCTGAAGGTTGCATTTCAAGCATAACTGCATTTCTCCATGCACTCTGAACGCTTCCCTTTTGGGGTATTGGCATGCTTGTGGCAAAAGCAACCAAACCTATTAATGAGGCACACAGTGAAAGACGGCACATGAAAAAAAAATCAGTCCTTTCCATTCTGACATTCCTCACTCGAAGCCTTGATGCTGCAGCAGGAAGCTAAGCATGAAAGGTAGCAGACTCCTTCCTTGCACGAGGGGCCAGGCAACACCAGCTGTGCAATGCACACAGCTAGAAAGGCTCTTATATACTATATATACAATTGTAATCCAGAATAAATAGTATGTCCTGACTCATAAGTGTATTTCAGCGTGGTTGTTGTTGGTTGTTATGGCTGGAGAATGCTTGCTTTTCATCCCTTCTGTCCCGCCCTTGGACACGTCGATGAACAGCAACCTGGGAGTCCACAGTGTCAGCAATATCCTTTTGTACTCCTTCCTAAAATTCTGGTTAAGAAGCCCATAGATCACAGCATTGAGGCAGCTGTTGAAATAGGCCATAAAATAGCTCAGGACAAAAAGCCATTCTGGAATGTGTGGCTGCACTTTTGAAGGATTAATGGAAACGGCAAGGCCAATAAAGTTTAATGGTCCCCAGCACACAGCAAAAAGGACAAAAACCACAAACATAGTCAAGAAGTTCCGGATGTCAGCTGCTCTGAGCTTCTGCTTGCAGTCTTGTCTCACCCGGTGTTTGACCTGAATCACTAAAATCCAGATCCGTAGGTAGCAAAACGTCACGACGGACAGCGGGACGATGAAGTGAACGACCACCACTGTGATGGTGTAGGACGTACTCACCGTCTGGGCAAAGGTGCAGGAGTAAATCCGGGGGTCATACTGCAAGGAACCAACAAAGAAGTTTGGCACAATGGCCACCACCGTGAGTATCCAGGTCAGGCAGAGATAGCAGCAGGTGTTCTTCAGGTTGAAGAGCTTGTCGTACCGAAGGCTGTGGCAGATGTAGCAATAGCGGTTGATTGCGATCGCCGTGATGTTGAAAATGGACCCGATGACACTTAAGCCCATCAGGAACCCGCTTATCTGGCAGTGGACATTTCCCATGGTCCATCCATTATGGAAGATGGCACTCAAGATCAGAGGGTATGGATAAACTGCAACCACAAGGTCTGCGACGGACAAACTGACGACAAAGATGTTGCCTACAGAAAAGAAAAAGAGACCACGAGAGGTTAACATACGTCCAGATAGACAACTTGCAACTCAGAACTCCTCTTTAGGCCTAACTCTTCTCATGGGCTTCACTCTAGTCTCCTTTTGGAACTTGAAACCCTAGGGCAGCACACTAGAAAAAGTAGTGGTTTACCAAACTCTGCTACTTTGAGGTGTATCCGCAGTGGTGTAAAGGAAAACATTACTAGATAGTAGATCTATATAAATATATATAGAGAGAGTGTATATATACAGTAGAGGCTATGTGTAACACATTTAAGGTGTTAACACCTCTGCCCTTATGTGATACAGGCAACATCCCAGACAACTGTTCACACCTGCACTTCCTCTTCAAACCCTCCTATCCTGCTGTCTACTAGAATACATATATTTTTTAAAAAATCACTAAAAAGAGGTATTTTTCTGTAGTATCCATGAAAGGACTCTCAAATCTCAGTTCAGCCAGGTCAGTGGCTTTAGGACTTGGAAAACACACCCAAGGGCTGTCGGAAAGCACGGTCCCATTGCCATTGCAGTTGGCTCATTGCTATGTTTGTGCCAACAAAAACCATCAGGACAAGTCAACAGTTCATATCAGGCCACTGCATGCTGACCGGAAAACAGTCCAGACTTGGGAACAGCCCCCGGCACTGTGGAGCTGAGGCAGCTGACACAGTGTCACTTAAAAATAAGTATTAGTGGAGGTCATGTGGAGTGCTGAAATCTTTTCAGAGAGAAATTTTACATAGAGAGGTTTACCAGAGCACACAGCTTCTTTGGTTGCTGGGCCTCAGTGCTGCTTTCTTGCTGATTTAATAACTTACTGAGAGCTCTATAAAATGCGGTCACCAAAGCTGGTCCCTATGTAAATAACTCCATTTGTGCCACTCTCAAGGGCAGAACCACTGGTTCTAAGCTGTGATGGTGCAGGCGCCACAGAGATGGAACGCTCTTCTGAACCAATTTTATTCATTCTATCAAAAATATGCACTTCAACAAAATGCGTCCCCAGCACCAGGATTTCATTTTGGAAAGTTTTTCCAAAACCATTTTCAAGGCAGAGAAACAGAGAGGTATCAGCAACCCAATTTAGGAGACTTCCAGAGGACGCCTGGAGACAGACTCAACTGATAGGACCACAACTCTTCACTGGGATACACGTTTAAATACACACGCAGCTGGAGAGCACGTCTCTGCCTTTGCTGGGGATGAGAGTCACATTCAGCACCCAGTTCTGAATCAGGCAAAACAGAACAAAGCTGAGTATTTCCTAGTTAAGACAGCACATCAGTGGATTTAATCCAAAGCTTAGTAAAATCATAGGGAAAATTATTAGTCTCACATCACTGCCAGCTGCTGGGATAAATAAGCAGTCTCCACCAGTCTTTCTTCACTAACTTGAATAGTTGTGTGGAAGTAAAAAATATAAAGGAAAAAATCTATAAAAATAATATTCACAGGATGCTCTTCACAGTTTGGATTCAATCCAAGAGCACAGTATTATGTGTACTGTTTTGACACGACTTCATTGCATGTTGCTCCAGCGGGGAGAAAATGAGATGGTTTTATCAAGAGAAGAATAATCTCTTCCATGTGGGGAGCAAACTTGCCCTCCTCTGCCCCAGGCTTTCACCTTGCAGCCTCAGCTCCCCTGTCAGCTGGCACATCTATGGCACAGGCAGGGTGCTAGGTGCCTGAAAATATGGTCAGAAAGGTTCACTCAGTACTATTTCACAGAAAGAAAACCATCTTCCATTTTATTTGGGAAGCGCTCAACTTCATAATTTTCTTCTGGTGAGATGAATGGGAAGGTCAGACCCATATAACAGACACTGGAAGGTCAGTCCTGAAAATCAGTGCATTCTTAATGACTGAGTACTGAAAAGAGGTGGCACACTGCATGCCACCAAAGCAGAATATGCAAGAGGAGGCTCCAGCTGAGGGACAGGGTCAGGTTCACTGGCACTGTGACAAGGCTGCCACCTCCATTCCACACCTCCCACAGCTCCTTCTCCTTTTCCCTGCACATGGACCAGCAGCAGCCTCAGGGCAGCCAGGGTCAGGCTTCAGCCCTCCGTGGGGACAGGCCATCGTGGCATTCCTGCACACAGAACTGGAGAAGCACTGGCAGCCATCCCAGCTAGGACAAGGGGGCCCAGGGACAGAGGCCGTGGTGGCACAAGTCCTGTCCTGGTCATGTCCTGCTGCCAGGCAGCACCACAGCCAGTGCAGGCAGCTGAGCTGCTGGGCCTGCCATGGGCTGGAGCCCCAAAAGCAGGAAAAGGAGACAGTGAGAGCCAAGAATGGCAGGGAACAGGAGGATGAGGCTCTCTGTGCACCCCACCTCTGCAGCCCCATCATCTCCCGCATCCTTGTCCCAGCAGGTGTTGGCTGGTGGGAGCCAGGCAGCCTCTACAAATCCCTCTCTCTCCTTTCAGGTTGACAAGAGGAGATCATTTCCTGGCCCACAGCGAGCACATGAGCAGCACCATAGACCCCATAGGCCCCATAAACCTCATGGGCCACAAAGGCCCCTTAATCTTAAGACATTTAATCTTAATTAAAAAATAATGAAATAATAATAATTAAAAATAATTAAAATTCTAATCAAATCTTAACAAAAGATTTCAGTTTTCTAATGGTGCTCGTCTGTGACCGGTCCACTGGGAGAAAGATGGGCCCTGGCCTGCACCCCATGTCCCCAGGGGCTGGCTTTGCCCATAACAAAGGGCTTGGAGTGCCTGGTGGGAAAGCTGTTGCCATGGGCATCCTTCACAGCAACCCTGTCAAATACCCCTGGGGTGTCCCTCCTGCTTGGGGATCAGCCCAGTATGGCCAAGGTGGCACCACCAGCCACCATGCACAGGTTCCCAGGCCATGCACTGATGCTCTGTGCTATTGGCTAATTATTAAAATAGGAGTAACTTGGGTTAAACATTGCTTCAGCCTCACAATCCCTGGTTTGCTGTGAGACCACTGTGTGCCGAGCTCTGTGGCAAATAGCTCATGTCTTTCCCTCCAGAGGATGAGATGAGACCCTCATTCCCAAAGACACTGCAGAATATTAAGCCATCTAATGTGTCTTTTAGGGAAGGTAAAGACCAGTATCCTACTGGATACATGATCTTCATCACTGCTTTTTTTACATTTTTCCATGATAAAACAAAAGAGTCTTGCCCATAAATAATACCATCAGGACTTTATCTCCAACTTAAATTTATCTGCTTCTGTGACACTATTTTCAGATGTATCTTTTTATCTTTATTGGCATGTGACTGTATTTCCTTATTAGCTTTCACATTTTCCGTTCCTTTTTTAACTTCTACTTAGTATAAACTGGTTTGTGTGCCACTGTGCTCCATCCCCCAGTTATGGAGTAACACATAAAGAGGGAGGGATGGTGGAGAAAAGCATGTCTAACACATGGATACTGGTAATACAGACTTGGCTACATTTTCAGAGAAACTATAAATCCTTTTATATTACAGAAGTCCAACTCACAGCTTAGGTTATAGAGGTACAATACACTGTTCACAGTGTAATCCACAATTGTTTGGAAAAAAACCCCCACCCCAAAACAACCTGAAGCCTAGTTGCTTGAGCAGATTATAGACATGTGCAAATAATACAAGTGGGAATTTATCCCAGAACATCTTCTACCCTAGTATTCCTGTCTTTGAGCTCCCCCTCTCCCTCCCATAAATCTATTTCTGTTCATTCTAACTCTGCTCCTGTACTCCAGCAGTTCCCTGGCCCTGCCTCTCATTTTGCCTGGATTATCCAATGACACAGTTTATATGAGGACTTATTGTCAAGCCCTGGTTCTAAGAAATGTGGAAATACCTCAATGAATTCTGCAAATCAATAAACCACATACGTAAAGCTCTTCACTGGCAGGCTGCCCCAACAGCACCTGACTTTCATTCTGTGGTACTGTTCCACAGAGATTAACTGAGCACCGCTGTAGAAACAGCAGGGTCACTGGCCCTGCCTGCCTCAAGAGGTTGTTGGAAATCCCCTGGTGCTCAAATTCCAGTCCTAGAGATCCAGCCTCTCCCTACTGTTCCCACACAGCAGCTGTGGGCTGTCCTTTACAGGCTGTGGTTTAGGTATCCTGAACCTACAGGAGAGGGTAAAAGGCAAGGAGGGAGGAGGAGGGAGGTAAAATATTTTTACGAAAATTGTATCTTTTTCTACATCTCAAAACGTCCAAAGCAAGCACCCAAACCTCTTTTTTCTCTGTTATCCATATAAAGCTCTCTCACATTCACATTCTTTGCTGAAGTATTACACAGCTACAGAACTGCTTCCTTCAGGTGAACAAGACAGAGATGCTCAATGCAACCTGAAGTCAGTACTGTTATTTTGTAAAGCCAACGCTGAAACTGAATTGTCCTGAATGACAGTATTTGCACCAGAAATACAGTTGTGTGGATCAACTTCTGCTAGCTGGCACAGTCCAGCTCCAACTGAGCCTGCTGTCCAGGCTGCCCCTTCCTCCCAGCCACTGTGCAGGGATTTGAGTCCAAATAGACAGTGCCCAGCACGGCATTTTGAGGCAAACAAAACCACATACAACAGCCTCAAAGGTGGCAAGTGAGAAGCTGACCCATGAGCACAATGGACATGAGTGCCAGGGGACTCACTGCATGACCAGTCACCTTGCTGCTCCAACCTCTTCCCAGCAGTGACATCAGACCCTGGCATCTGTCCAGCTGCTGCCAGAATAACTGACAGCTGCAGAAAAGCAAGTCTAAAAACCTACATTGAGGAAAAGGTGCTAAGATACACAATGACATAATGCTAAAAGTTTATTGGTGTGACTGGTATGTTTGCAGTGACTTTTTACTATCATAATGACAAGCCACAGCTTACAATAAATAGAATCTTAAACTTTATGTTTGTTCATTCAGGTTTTATGAAAAAGTCAACAGACGCATGTGTCCCAGATAAACTGGAAGTAAGACACACGTCAACCTCACAGAGATAT